TTGTGCAAGCACTTCCAAGAGTTCATGAACAGTGAGCCTGGTGAAATTTGGGGAGCGCATCGTCAGTAGTGAACCTTTGGTTCCTAGGGTGTTTCGGCCTTTCATACTATACACCCTCCCCAAAGGCGGCCAGCGACAGGGTGATCAATCCTACGCTTGCGTCCCATTCCCAATTAGTCATAGGAGTTGCCTTGTTGTTGAAAGCCAACATCCCATGGGACTATGCATGGCAGGGGCGTCCTCCTCCCTGAGTCAATCATTGTTGACTGCATACCTCCTGGCCCTCTCACTTTGGGGCCCAGCTGGGGTCTTTCCTCTTCATCCAGAGCCACTGACTGCTGCCTTCTGCCGCCTCCGATACAGCTCTGATTGCCGAACGCTGGCTCTGGCCCTTAATTCCCAGGTCTCTAAGCAGTCTGGTTGTAGATGTTGCCACAAAACCTCTGCAGCCCACCTCCACTGGTCGGACTTCTGTGTTCCAGCCATGATGCCGTGCTTCGGCAGCTAGATCGGCATAGCGCAGATGTTTTCGCTCATAATCCTCATCTACTGAGTCCTCCCAGGGTACTGTGAGCTCAATGATGAAGACCTTCTTGAGCGAACGGGACCAGAGCACCATGTCAGGTCTTAGGATGGTGGTTGCGATCTCCAGAGGAAACACAAGTTGCCAGCCAATGTCAGCTAGCATTTTCCAGTCGCGGGCCAAGCGCAGCTGGTCTCGCTCTATTGGTGTAGAGCCGTTCTTCGGTGGTTTAGCCCCTTCGCGGACAAAGGTCGTCCGTAAGGGGTGTGATGCTGCTGGGGGTGGTAAGGAGTTGGTGGCAGCTCGCTTGTCCTCCAGGGCAGACGCAAGGTGTTTAAGGACTTGGTTGTGACGCCAAGTGTAGTGTCCTTGGGTGAGGCTTGTTTTACACCCTGTGAGAATGTGCCTGAGGTTGGCTGGCATGGAACAGAGGGCACAGTCCGGATCTTCACCATACCATTGGTGAAGATTAACTGGTGTTGGAAGGACGTCATATGTTGCTCTGATGGAAAAGCTCAACCGCCTCGCTTCCATGGCCCACAGATCCTTCCAGCTGATCTTCCTCTTCTCCACACTGTCCCATCGAGTCCACTGTCCCTGTTTTGCAAGAGAGACTGCCTTGTCCCACCTTGCAGCCTCCTCCTGATGGCGTACTTCCTGCACTACCATCTTCCGCCGCTCTGGTGCAGTGGCCTTACTCCAAGCAGCACGGCTAGTTAGCCCAAGGCCTCCTCTCCCTTGCTGAACATGACCCACAATGTCAGCATGTCTGAGGGCTGCTGTTGCCTCCTGGACTGCTTTTCCTGGCCTCCATTTGCGCCCAGTTGCGTGGTGCTGGCCACCCACCCCCTCGTGTACCGTTCCGGCCTTCATAGGTGCTCGCTAACAGCACTTTCCCCTACAGTCTGTTAAGGCTTTGCGGGGGATTTTTGTGTGGGGTGTGTGTGTGGGGGTGTGTGTGGGGGGGGGAGACAGAACGGAATGGTGGGGAGTGGTAGTGTAGCGGTGAGCGCTACGCTGCGCTATGAACCCGGCGAACCCGAATTCGATTCTCGCTCGCGGCCAACACCGGTGACGATTATCTGAACCGGTCCTCGGCTTCCCCCTAGGTCGACTTGGCCTCAAATGAGTACCTGGTACTATGTGTAAACATTGCCACTGGGGAGATAAAGGCGGCCGGACGCGGTGTTGGCCACCCACCCCCTCGTGTGCCGTTCCGGCCTTCATAGGTGCTCGCTAACAGCACTTGCCCCTACAGTCTGTTGAGGCTACACGGGGGACCTTTGTCTTTGGGTGAGACGGAACGAGCGGCGTCTCCCGCACCCACCTTTTTCTCTCTCTCCTTCTCGCCCTTCGCTGCGCCCTTTCAACTGAGACGGCACCGATTGAGCGCAGTATTTGATGTTCAGACAACCCAGGCCGCCGATTGGGATCTCCCTCCCTTTCCCTCACTCCGTCCGGCGTTCCGTACCTCTCACAAGTCCCCTGCTGCACGGCCACCATCTGTCCGTCTGTCCGTCTGTCTGTCCGTCCGTCTATCCGTCCGTCCAGCCAGCCACCCAGGGTAACGCGCCTACACAATCTATCAGCGTGGAGCTCACCTTTTTGCCGTGCTCTTACCGTAGACCCGGTGACGTGTTGCCACGTGGCCTTGCCCTTGATCTGTGCTGGTGGTTTTCCTGCTCGAGGTCGTGGCCGCGACACAGAAGGCCGTCTCTCAAATTACTTTCTTTCTCTTCCAAAAGTATTGTTGTTAATTCGCTGAAACAATTCAGGTGCGCCTTCTTGGTTCTTTCGGTAAAGTCACGTACAATGGAAATAATAAAAGAATAAAAATAAAACATAATAAAATAATCTTCTTGGTTCTTTCGGTAAAGTCACGTAGAATGGAAATAATAAAATAATACAAATGAAACATAATAAAATAATTCTCACGACGTTTCGGCCACAACGCAAGCAGCCGTCCTCAGGTGGAGAACAGGTCTGTCGAGAAGACAGAGTCTGAATGACACACCCCAGGCTTGGAGTGTCTATTTAAGCTGGGATGGAGGGGGGAAGAGCGCCTTGACAAAGGAATTTGCATATCAAGAGGAATTTAGCAAATTTATGGGAAATGTAGATATGCGATTAATACTACTTGTGAAATGCGTAGGAGGTTTGGCGGGGGGGTTAAAGTCATATTATGCCCGTGCATTATGCAGGATTAGCAGCATCAAAGGGAGGGGATAGGAGTAGCATTTAGGTGCGCTTCCACGAGAGGATAGGGACAGGGGGTGGGTTGACAGCCCACACATGACGGATGGCAGTCCAACGGAAATCTGTCTGTCTACACCGCACGTTTCAATAAACTTCTCCAATAAATTCTAGATTTGAAGCTTTCGTGACTGCAAGGATTCATATTCTTAGGTTTTTTCGGTAAAGTCACGTAGGTAAAAAATTCAAATTAATAAAAGTAAAATAAAAATACGTGACTTTACCGAAAAAACCTAAGAATATTCTCCAATAAACTCTAGAACAGCTCCCTGGTGTCTTCCTGCGCTCTGATAGCCCTGTAGAAGGAAACACGAGAGGGGGGGGGGGGAGGGAAAGGGAGGGAGGGGGGGAGGGTGCCTAAATGCACTCATGAATGCTCTGAGAAATCAATGTCCACTGGAGGAGAGGATAGTGAAGGGCTTGCCACGGATAGGTGGTGACCTTCCTCCCTGCTCCCCTCTCTTGCACTTCGATGCGGTCTCGTGGTTTTCAACTGAACGCCGTTCAGCCGGCAAGTTGCCGAGAGCGGAGGCTCTTCCACCGCATCTCCGGCCAGCACGGCGGGCTACGTGCGGTGCGAGAGAAGTTTCACACGTGCCCACGTGCAAACACCGAACGAATCGCATCGCCTTCAATTTAACACGTAGTAGGCTTTCGCGACCGATATTATTCATAATATTGTTTTTTTTTTAAAGAAGTCAATTAATTTGTCCTTTGAAAACGTGACACATTTTTTTTACTGTTTGGCCGTGCCGGGTGGTGGAGGGTTACGACACATTTATAAATAACGCATCGCCTTCAATTCAACACGTAGGCTTTCGCGACCGATATTATTCATAATATTGTTTTTTTTTTAAGAAGTCAATTAATTTGTCCTTTGAAAACGTGACACATTTTTGTTTACTGTTTGGCCGTGCCGGGTGGTGGAGGGTTACGACACATTTATAAATAACGCATCGCCTTCAATTCAACACGTAGGCTTTCGCGACCAATATTATTCATAATATAGTTTTTTTTAAGAAGTCAATTAATTTGTCTTTTGAAAACGTGACACATGTTTTACTGTTTGGCCGTGTCGGGTGGTGGAGGGTCACGACACATTTATAAATAATGCATCACCTTCGCTTGCAGCACGCGGCTTTGTGATTGCGTGCGAGGCAACCCCCCCCTCTTTCCCTCCTTATTCCCTATCTAATTTCACTCGAGTTGATATATTTATTGCGGCTTTACATGGCAATTTAACAGGGCTGTTGCCCGCCCAGCGGCCGTGTTAAAGACTCTACGCAGGGAGGGAAGGAGGGTGGTGGCGAGGGATCTCTGTCGTAGTGGGGTCCAGCCGGGCCTTTTGCTGGCGACATCCCAAATTCTCCCAGCCCCGTTGGCGAGACGTCGCGCCCTTAATAGGCGCTCGCTAACAGCAATTGTTGCTCAAGTTTCGCTGGCTCAGAACAATGGGGGGGGGGGGGGGGGGGCATTAGTGACGTTCTTGTTATTATTGTTGTTAGTTTGACACGTAGGCTTTCGCGACCAATATCCATAATAGAGGTTTTTGGGTTAGATCGCGTAAATATATGAATATGTCTTTAAACCCGCCACCAGCCGACACAGCCAACTAGTTAGGGTTGTCACATAAACAGAACGTGGCCAATTCGTCACTAGTACAGCACTAGTGTGTAGTGTAGTGTATTGTAGTGTATAGTGTAGTGTATAGTAGTGTAGTGTATAGTGTAGTATACTAGTACAGCACTAGTGTATTGTATAGTGTATAGTAGTGTATAGTGTAGTGTATAGTAGTGTAGTGTATAGTGTCGTGTATAGTAGTGTATGGTAGTGTAGTGTATAGTGGAGTGTATTGTAGTGTATAGTGTAGTGTATAGTAGTGTATAGTGTAGAGTTTAGTGTATAGTGTAGTGTATAGTGTAGTGTACTAGTACAGCACACCCGTTGTGTGTTGGAGAGCCAAGCCACAACATTTACAATCTGAGTACGGGTGGACTTCTCCACAAATCTGACTGGCGCCTGATGAAGCTGGTTGTAATTACTGGCGAAACGTCGTACTCAGATTGTAAATGTTGTGCCTGGCTCTCCAACACATTGGAGAGCCAGGCACTAATTGGCTGTGTCGGGTGGTGGCGGGTTTAACGACACGTGTATATATTTACGCGATCTAACCCCAAAAAAAACCTGGATTATGGATTGTTGTTGTTGTTGTTGTTGTTCTCAGAGCAAGACTGGAGAGCTGGAGGGCCCGGAAGTCGATGGCTTTGTGAAAGACATGATCGGTCTTGTCAAGGTATGGAACCACCCTGTAGAAAAAAGAGACAAAGATGCCCTCGTATATAGCCTTGGCAGACTGTCGGAGCAAGTTCTGTAGCACCTGCGAAGGCCGTCAGGGTACAGGATGGGGTGGGTGGCCAGCACCACGCCGTGTTCCCGGCGCAAAGGGAGATGAAGGGGGTGGTGACGATGATAACAGGAGGGCAGAGAGCGCGAAGAGACAATTGAGAGGGAGAGAGAGAGTACGTACGTGTGTGTGTGTACCGTTTGTTGAACTTCTAACGCACCGTACGTAGCCAAGCGTGCCAATCGCAACGCGCACTTCTAAAGAAATCGATTGTTCAACCGAGACGATTTAAAAGTGCACGTCTCCCGGTGGCTTCAGGGAGGGAACAGCGTCCTTTTCCACAAGGGAGGCATTCAGAGTCGAGGGGGGGGGGGACGGTGGCCACACACAAGTCGAGCGAGGAAAGTTCGAAATACGTGCGTACACCGGGCGCTTTTGTCTTTGCTCGAGTCAGATCGATGGACGTTCTTGTGTCACCCCTTGCCGTGCCCGCCGTTGTCGTCCCGTTGCAGCCCAACATGAGCGGCACCGACTTGGACCAGTTCCGCGAGGTCCTCATGGAGCACTGCGACCTGAACCGCGACGGAAAGATCCAGAAGACCGAGCTGGCCCTCTGCCTCGGTCTACGCTTCAGGCCCCTGGACTAAGACGCGAGCCCCCCCCCACCCCGCCCCCCCCCCCACCCCCACCACCAAACCCGCGGCTCCGTGCCGGGCGAAACGAAAATCCCATCCGTAACTCTGTTGCCGACGGCCTTTCAAAGTCATTCTGCTCTCGGAAACGTCGAGCGAAATCCGTCGGCTTATCTTCACTTATTATTTTGTTGCTGTCATTGCGCTTTGCGCGAGGCCGATCTGCTGGTCGAGGCGGCGGGGCCGTGACCGCGCTTGCGAGCTCCTTGGGAGAGAGTATATGAGAGAGTATATTCCCAGCGGAAACCCGTGTTCCCGTCGCAAGCCTGTGTTCCCGTCGCAAGCCCATGTTCCCGTGACAACCCCGTGTTCCCGTCGCAAACCCGTGTTCCCGGCGCAAGCCCATGTTCCCGTGACAAGCCTGTGATCCTGTGGCAAGCCCACGTTCCCAGCACAAACCTGTGTTCCCGTGGCAAATTCGTGTTCCCGGCGCAAGTCGTGTTCCCGGCACACGCGCCTGTTCCTGGCACACACGCATGTTCCTGGCGCAAGCCGTGTTCCCGGCACTAGCCCGTGTTCCCGTGTTCCCGTGACAACCCCGTGTTCCCGGCACAAAACCGTGTTCCCGGCACTAGCCGTGTTCCCGTGTTCCCGTCGCAAACCCGTGTTCCCGTGTTCCCGGCACAAAACCGTGTTCCCGTGACAACCCCGTGTTCCCGGCACAAAACCGTGTTCCCGGCACTAGCCGTGTTCCCGTGTTCCCGTCGCAAACCCGTGTTCCCGTGTTCCCGTGTTCCCGGCACAAAACCGTGTTCCCGTGACAACCCCGTGTTCCCGGCACACGCCGTGTTCCCGGCACACGCCGTGTTCCCGGCATACGCGCATGTTCCCGGCACACGCCGTGTTCCTGACACTAGCCGTGTTCCACAGATGTTGCTGTTGTCCCGGGCATTCCCGCGTTTTTGGCCGTGTGTTTTCACAGTCGATCGCTTTGATGCACATCGAGCCGTGGTGGCTTGGATGTAAATAGGGCCCCACGTGTGCGACAGGTCTCGTCGTCATCGCCGTCAGCCTATAACCCCCCCCCCCCCCCCACTGCTGACTAAAGGCCTCCTCCCCCCCCCCCATCTGTCTATCCAAACTCTGCTCAAGACTCCCGTAACATCACGTGACTCCTGTGTGGCCACGCCCACTGTGAGAACAGACTCCGCTCCGTGCATCGGCGTGCCGCCACGGGGCCCAACGGTTGCAAGTTTCCTCCTTCCGTCCCTTCCCTTCCCGGAGTTCAGTGACTCTTCACTCATTTTCAGACGTGGGCACGAGGGGGTGGGGGCCGCCAAATCATTGGAAACCATTGGAGGTTTGACAGCAGCGTGATGATGATGATGGTCGTGGGGGTGTTGTCACTCGTTGTGTTTTGTCGGGGGGGGGGGGCGCGTCAGGGCCCCCCACTAAAGGCCACCAGGGGCATTGAAGAACACTCGCCTTGGTTGTTCCCGTGCGGTGGTAGCTTCCGGACGTGTTTGGATTTCGTCTCTGCTGCCATCTGTTCCACTGGTTCTTCCCAACCCCCCCCCCCTCCCCCTGCTTCATTTGCCTTTTGTCACCATCTCCACTCTGTGGTTAATGAGCGAAATTATTTTGGCGACGCAGCAGCAGCTGCTGCTGCTGCTGCTGTGAGCAGCAGGGGCACAAGCACAATTAACAACAACTCCTCGGCACAAAACTTTGGTTATTGAAGGGGTTTGTCTCTTACTCAAGAACCACCGTTTGTGTAACTATTCATACGTCAATTTAAAAGTTGGTCGTCAGATACGAAATTTTATTTCATTCAAATCAGGCTCAATGCTGTAAACAAGTGCGGTCTCCAATTCTTCATTATCCACTCTGTCTCTGTTGTCATCTTGTCTATATGCCACGAATAAGGGCCAATTGCCCGAAACGTCGTATCATATTTCGATTTAAAGCTATCGTGACTGCAGGGATTCATCTTCTTGGTTCTTTCGGTAAAGTCACGTAGAAGGGAAATGATAAAATTATAAAAATAAAACATAATACAATACAATTCTCACGACGTTTCGGCCACAACGCAAGCAGCCGTCCTCAGGTGAAGAACAGGTCTGTCGGAAAGACAGCGTCTGAAGAAACGTCGTGAGAATTGTATTTTATGATGTTTTATTTTTATTATTTTATTATTTCCCTTCTACTTGACTTTACCGAAAGAACCAAGAAGACGTCGTATCATACATATGTTGTTTTTTTTATTTAAGGCCACCGTGTTCTCAACGAATGTGCGCCTTTTGCGTGCGTACAACTGCCAATACAACAGCGGCAGCAGCATCACCATTACGGTTTGTTTAATGTTGTTGTTGTTGTTATCGGAGTCTGTTGGGCGTGATGAAGGGTAGTGAGCCAGAAGTGACAGCAGAGTCGCCCTGCCAACCCGACTCTTTGCTCGCCTGAAACCACCTCTGGGTAAACGCACCCACCAGCTCCCTTTCATCCGAAGCTTCAAACGTCGCCAAACCGCTTTCGCCGTGGAGTCGCCGACTCGACACGCGGTCCGTCCTCCCCACCCTCCCCCGCTCCTTCTCACGCGTGAGCGGAGCAGACGGACAGCGAAACCGCTCCGAGGTTGTCACCGTTCGGTCCGGCTAGACAACAGAAAACATTAAAAATACAGAAATAAAATAGCGCCGGAGCATTTACGCCGCAGGCAACACGCTCAAACTACATTTGTTTTTGGTTTAACACGTAGTCGCAGGCTTTCGCGACCAATATAAGTATAACCCGTAAAAACAAAGTTTTTCACTATAAATCCTTTATATGCGTGGCGGCTAGAGTCCTCTCGTCCTCTGGCTTGAGATGGCTGCCACCTATGGGTCAGATGATTGTCTGCCAGTATTAAGAAATTGGTAATTAAATATTTAATTTGTTTTCCCTAAACAGTGTAAAATTTTGGAAAAAAATTTTCACGAACATTAATTGTCTCGCACAACGAGTCTGTGTGCAAAATGTCAGCTCGATTGGATCACGGGAAGTGGGTTAAAAAACGACCGAAAGATTTGCATGGTCGTAAGCAAGCAAGCACGCAAGCAAGTGAACTTAATATAAAGGATTTAATAATCCGTAATAGAGGTGTTTTTTTGGGTTATATCGCGTAAATATATAAATCTTCTTCTTGGTTCTTTCGGTAAAGTCACGTAGAAGGGAAATAATTAAATAATAAAAATCAAACATAATAAAATAATTCTCACGACGTTTCGGCCACAACGCAAGCAGCGCTGTCTTTCCGACAGCCCTGTTCTTCACCTGAGGACGGCTGCTTGCGTTGTGGCCGAAACGTCGTGAGAATTATTTAAAAATGTTTTATTTTTATTATTTTATTATTTCCCTTCTACGTGACTTTATCGAAAGAACCAAGAAGACGAATCCCTGCAGTCACGACAGCTTTAAATCGAAATATATCAATTTTGATTTGAAGCTTTCGTGACTGCAGGAATCCATACTCTTCGGCTCTTTCGGTAAAGTCACGTAGATAGAAATAAATAATAGATCACGATGTTCCTATCGCAACAAGAAGCGACCGTCTTCAGGTATGTTTTCTACCCACGTGACTTTACCGAAAGAACCAAAGAGTATAAATATATAAATGTGTCGTTTAACCCGCCACCACTTGACACAGCCAACTAGTAAGGGTTGTCACGTAAACAAAACCTGCCAATTCGTCACTAGTACAGCACTAACGTGTAGTGTATAGTGTAGTGTATAGTAGTGTAGTGTATAGTGTAGTCTACTGTGTTGTGTATAGTGTAGTGTACTAGTACAGCACACCGGGTGTGTTGGAGAGCCAAGCTACAACATTAACAATCTGAGTACGACGTTTCGCCAGTATTTACAACCGGCATCATCAGGCGACAGCCAGATTTGTGGAGAAATCCTCCCGTTTCGTTCCTTAAATAGAGGCGTAATGTGATGACGTCACGTGTGAGCCCTTCACGTGCGAAGCCCAGAGGAGGGGGGGGGGGTGTTAATGAATGCATTTAAATGACAATGGGTAACCATTACCGGCTGGGTTATGAATTTATTTATAAATTAATTTTTGTTCTTTCTCCCCGAGCTCGCCACGGCGAGGGTGGACAGCTACGGGGCGCGACAATGCCTTTGTGTTGATTTTGGTTCCAGGCCGACCCGTCGCTTTCAATGTGTCACGTGGGGAGCCGAAGTGACGTCATCGTTATTGATAACTCGCCGGTGTCACGCCCCCTGCGGGGTCAGGGGGGCGGAGGCAGGGAAGAGGTCGTGATAGAACTGCCTGGTGGCACGGGGGGAGGGGGGGGTCATAGGTCAGGGACGCTGAGACCCTGCGTTCGAACCTGGGTTTCGGCTGCTACCTGTGATATACAGCGGGTGGTCAAGTAATAGTCAGTTTATGATCTTGGCCCTGCGAGATCCATAGATTCGCATAGAGATGCACAGCGTCACATAGAGGCCCACAGACTCGCATAGACTGGATCGTGACTAAGCCGCCGGGTTCTCTAGTATAGCGAGTCCATTATCTCAGCCTGGTGAGATCGAGACTCACACAGAGCTGCATGGTATGTCTGTACGTAGAACTTATTTCACACCGTGCAATGTCAATCGGAGATGCGGCAGAAAGGCAGCAAGTTAAACGCACACAAAAAAAACCTACTCTAAAGAAATGAGTTTTCAATTCGGATTTATCAGTGCATCGCTCCAGTGGCTTCCAAATTTCGGAAGATAGAGACCCACTTTCTCGCATAGACCAGAGGTCGCAAACGGGTTTTGATTCCTTACCCGTACCCGGCCGCACCAGGGTCGCAAATGGGTACCCGTACCCGTTTCCGGCCGTACCCGTACCCTACCCGTACCCGGCCGGGTATGGGTAGGGTACGAGTATCGGGTACCTGATTGCGACCTCTGGTATGAAGCCATGTTGCAGGCGCGGGTGGGTTGATTCTAGGAACTTGAATTGTGAGAAGAGACAAGACGTTGGCAGATGAGTGACAGT